CACTGCCCTGACAGGGAAAATCTTTTCCTAATATTCTCATTTTTAAAGATTTCTAACTGGAACCTTCCTTTGTACATTTGAGCTCAGTCAGGACATCCCCACTCAGCTATGGTGGTCTTCTGCCATGTCCAATTAATTTTCTGCATGTGAAATGGAGTGTTCCTGTTCTTGGAAGAGGTTGTGCTCCATCACGTAGTAGATCACCAGGCTGCAGCAGAAGATGTTTTCAATTTGTGTTTACAAAGTTGTGTAGAGATACCTGAATATGGAGGTGAAGGGAAAGTGCTGGCAGGGGAAAAAAAAGACCAACAAAGCTGCTGCACTTTATCAGTAGGAAACTTGTAGTTTACTAGCCAGCCTGTTGTTGTAGGTGCCTTTTCTCTTCAGGTTCCCATAAAGGCTCTATGGCAACTCTGGTATGGCTTACCATAAAAATACCTTTCTTGGGTATTTTCAACCTCTTTTCAAGCTGCTGTATACAGTTGTAATGAGCAGAATTTGGGTGTGGGGTGATTGAAGACAGAGATGGAGACCTGTTCTGCTTCCTCTCTTGGCTGATCCAGTGTTTCCCAAATAAACTTTCTTCATTCAGCCATGACAATTTACTTTGCTGTAATAAATGGGATGCTTTTAGCTGGAAGTCTGTGACAGCCAGTGAATGCCATGATTTCACTGTAGCTAAACGTTGCCAGTGTGGGTTTTCACTGCAAGCAAGCAAACTGGTGCTCTTTTTTAAATTTGCAATAGTATGTTCATGTCAAATGATTTGTTGTGCCAAATTATGAAGGTGACACTTCGCACAGTCCTAGCCACAATGAGATCTGAAAGGCATGCTAGTGAAGCACACATTTTGAGAAATCCATGGAATATTTTAATGTGCTTTTTACCACTTGGAATCCTTCTGCAAAATGTTATTTTCAGTCTTGAGTGGGAAGGAAGGAAGGAAAGGAAATCAGGAGCCCCATCAAAGAGAGGAAAGAAAGAAGTCAGAATGACAAAGCAGACAAGGACAGATCCTGGGGGAACACAGGTATACTCATTAATTGTATTTACATTTCAAAGATGAGTTAACTGCGGTGATCTCAATCATACCCTACACTTGGGTTCCCTGCCACACACCATGAATAATAAATGCACTTTGGAGGATAGAGTAAGTGACCCAATAGGCTTCTTCCACTTTTAATTTCATGGGTGATCTTAATTTGAGAGGTCAATACAAATGCCTACGGTAACTAGACAACTTTAGGCCAGTAATTACTAATTAAAACAGAAGGCAAGATGCTGGCTAAGGCACCTTCAAATAGATCACAGATAACCTTGCAGGAGCTGATTAACTCAAATAGAACACATCCTTAGGTGATAGCTACCAAATGATACTTGGAACAGTTTTTAAAATTCAAAAGGATGAGGGAAAAGGATTCATGAAACTCTTGGCTGGGTTTTCTCTGGAGAAAGAATTTTGATAATAAGCAGGATTAGCTGTTTGCCAATTAGCAGACAATTAGTAAGAAAGACATTTACCCAGTAGGCAAAAATCTTTTATGATAGATTCACACTCATCAGACCTGTTTATGCCGAAGGAGGATGAACAGTGCTGTGCTCACAGTGTCTCAGGTCTAGTGATGGGAGCAGCACTGGCTGCTGCTGCCGTGCCAGCTTCACGTGGGCTGTGTGGCACTCGATGTGACAGTGCTTAACAGAGGACCCCAGGCTGTGCTCCTGGATCCTGGGCTGGCTGTGAATGATTTCCCAGGCATCCACAAAAGAAATTTGGGAAAGCACAGCAACTGTCCACAGAGAAAACTGAGAAATCTCTGACACAGGGCAATTTTTAGGGATGTGCAAATCAGAAAAAGTGAGAAGACATTTGCTTTATTAGTATTAGTGTCTGTAAAGGCGATTAACGTGGGTAGATCAGAGTGTCAGACATTGGAAGCTTTTCTAAAAGTGCCCCTTGGACAGGTGAGGCCTCAAATGACCAGAAATTCAGAGTAGCAGATGCTGGAAAGAGAAGCTGAGCTAGGCTGCTGGGTTTTGGCTTTTTTTTTGCCCAGCTTAACAATTTCTCTGCACGGTTCCTGCAGAATAGGGATATGTAGGCAGCACTGATTGGCTAAAAGGCAGAGTGGGGGATGAATCTGTCTGATTTTACTGTTGTCCATGCTCCTTTTCTCCACCCTCAGAACTTAAAAGATTCCTAGGTAGGATCCATCTCTCCTAACAGAAGCATCCAAGAATCAGTGTTAAGGCTGAACTCCTCTCTAAGCTCCTTCCCCAAGCAGTGGGAAGAGGTGAGCTGGGGCTGAACCTGAGCTCTTTAAAGCAAACAGCTCCTCAAGGTGTATTTCATGGCTCATCCCCTAAGGGGGGTACTTCTTGCCATTAACTCCACAGGCAATACAGAGCACAAGGCTAGACTTACATACAGATATACAGTTTAGATGCCTAAATGAAGCCAGAAAAATTGTACTTTTCTATTCTAAAATACAGCACTGAATAGCAAAGAACACAAGAAGAAAACAAATTGGGACCAAGTGCTGCTCCGGAGTGCAGAGCATTTCCCTGCTGTATCCCTTGGCACAAAGTAGCACCTACCCTGAGGACTAAACACAGATTGGGATGCTGAAATGAAGGAATGAACTCAGTCCTGCTTTTGCCACTGGCATCCTGATCAAAATGAGAATTTCAAATCGAGCTTATGGCTTTATAACTTTTGTGACATGCATAAATACATGATCCTTCCAACTAAATCCACTTTTTTTTTTTACTTTTTTATCCCTTCATAGTCAGGGCAGCTTCATTTGCAGGAGGCTGAATTTACTCTGATCCCAGGACTCGCTCTGCACCCTCCAGAGGCAACCATCCTGAGTGGAAGCCATCCCTTGTGGAAGCAGGTCTACCCCCGTAGCACTTTGCTGCACAACAAGGGGACCTTTGCCCTTCCTTTCCTTCAAAACAAGGACACTAACCCCTTGTTGAAAGGGAGGGTTGGCTTTAGAGCTGCTGACAGTTGTCCAGAGATAGAATTCTTTCCGGTTAGGGTAGTACTGTTCCTGTGACATGGATCTTGTTTGGGAACACCTGACTTGGAGCAGGCAGACTAGGGGTATCAGCATTAGGACCAATCTAGTGGTGAGCCATTGCACCCTACAGAAGAATGATGATGAGGGCCTTTCATTCAGGGAATGCTGAAGCTGGCTAAAACCTCCCAAGAGGACCAGTCAGATTCAGTAAAACACCTGTGTTGGTTTCCAGGGAAGCTAAACATTAATTTTCTTGAGAGCAAGGACTGGTAGCTAAACTCAGAGCCATGTTTCTGATGTGTTGTGTGGGTTAACAGCCTGCTGAGCTCTGGAAACAGCCATGATGGAGAGGCTCAGCATTGCAAAGTGCTGCTGCTGCTTCGTGCAGCCTGAAGCTGCACTGAAAAACAGGGAGATGCTGTCAAGCCCTTCTGGCCATGGAAAAAAGTGTACAAAAGGAAGTGAACAGTGCTGTCAGAGCACAACAGCAACATTTTGTGACTGAAAAATATTTTCATCACTTGCACAATTATACTACCATTTAGGGGAAGAAAAGGAGTGCTGCAGAGACAGCCATTGCAGATGGAGGAGACTGATAGGCCCCTCTGGCTTTTCCACCTGAAAATGCAAGATGTGCTATGATACCACCAACGTGAACTCCACAGGAGGAAGTGAGGGAAATGTGATTACAGATATTACATCCAAACTGAATTTAAGCTGCATTAAAAAACTCAGATTACTGCACAGTTCCATGCTACCTTTGAAAACATGATGGCATCTGCTACTGACTTGTAAAGAACATGCAATGGCTTATTTCTCAGTGAGCAAATTTGATCTCTTCTGATTCACAAATCCACAGAAACCAAGGCAGGAAGTCAAATTATGGACAAACTTTTCCAGCATATAAATAATCGTCAACAAAGCAGCTGTGTTCCTTGGGATTTTTGTTTGTTTTTCATCCAAATTTTTACTCTACATTGCAACCTTTAGCAAAGTTACTTATCTCAGTTTCTTTATCTATAGAATTCAGGTAATGAATCAGACCTTCTTTGCAAAATGTGACTCTGTAGATAAAAGCATTAGTATTGCATGCTGATGTTAATAAATATATTCTCAGTTGACTAGTCATCACTGGAACAGTTTTCTGTGGTATGTTCATTCACTGTACAGATTTAATGAGTTATTAAATCCTTCTGACTCAGCCTAGTTTTGCTGACAGGGAGAAAGAGCAATCCAGGCTTAAGCACACGTGTCAAGCTCCCATTCAAAACTATTTTTGGGGGGTTTGATGAAGTGGCATACAATAGAGACAAGCACCTCTTTGCTTTCTTGGCTGTGACTGTTACAAGGCAATGACAAAGATCTCTAGACTGTGATAGTGTCATGAGTTACTGTCTCTGCCACGAGGACTCTATACACCTAGTAACTCTCATAAAAGACTCTGTGTAATATGACTAGAAGTATCATACAGGCTGACAAAGTGAACTGCAATAAACCAGTGCATCTTTCCATTACCTCCCGCATCATGGTGCAGCAAGTGGCAGAGCACAATAAATTTTAAAATAAAAAGCTGGCATGAATGATTATATAGTTATAAATGAATGACAAAGACTTTTAATGCACATGTAAAAAATAATCCAGCAATTGCCTTCCAACTGCATTTTAGCTGTTTTCATGCAACAAAACAAAGCTGGCAGCTGTTTGTGAAAAGAGGTCAGTGGGCTAAAATGTGCTCAGTCTGAAATAATGATTTGAGGAAAAAATAATTCAACAGAGAGTATTTTATGAACAAAATCAAAGAAAACAAAGTCACAGAACTTGAGAGTTTCAAAGCAGTCTTCTCCTCATAAGTACCCCTCTCGCTCAAAACAAACCCAAGGCTATAAAAAGCTTTAGAAATTATTTCAAAGGCACTGAGCTTTCAAAAGGAAGAAAACCCCTAAATATTCTTTGTGAATTTCAATAAAGAAATTTCCCCTAGATCTTCCACGCTTCAGTCTTTTCTGCGATCATGAACCAACTGGCGTGGTCAAAGTATGAATGTGTAACATGGAGCTCAGGAACATGATGTTCTATCAGCACAGCTCAAACTCCTTTAAAAATGTGGTAGTACCTCAGCCAAGCCCCACCAGGACCTGTCTGCTGCTGGCTCTGCATGGTCAGGGCCTGCTCATTGACTGCTTTCTGCAGAGAAGAGCCTGTTCTCCTTCTGCTCCAAGGTTGGCAAAAAGCTCCTTGTTGTGGGTAATGGTCTATTTTAAGTTCTTGTCTGACAGCTAATTCTTTCTGATGTGAAATCAGGTCAAGTAAACATGCTCTGCTGCAGTCATGGAGAGTATCTGCAGGTATAAGGATCTTGTCCTAATTCAGAACAGCAACTTGTGAAAGCCTTCGAGCAGCATGACATGGGCAGCACAGGTTTAACAGCCACTTCAAAAGCTGCTGTATTGCAATGCAGAAAAAAGTCAGAAATATGTTTCAGAAAACCACTTCCTCTGTTTTTTTCAACTTTTTTTCCACTGTTTAATTCATTCAGCTGCACACTGTAATTGCAGTATCTAATGAGCTCTTCTTGGTGCCACTGATCACCCACATCTAACACCGACTCAAGTGATCTTTAGAACAGAGACCATCTCAGAGATTTCTCTAACACCATGCATGGTGCTTTTTTCTCCCCTCCACAGGATGAATTCCTTGCTCTCCTACATACCTCTGAAGTCCCATCCAACTCATGACAGGGCTGTTTCAAAGCCAGCTCCTCGTCCTTGTGAAGAATTGATTTTTGCACTCTATGTGAGCAAGGCTCACCCGAGGAGCAGGAAGGAGGTGAAGGATTCCAGGGAAAAAAGATGTCTTGCTTTTCAAATCTTCTCAGTTTTTGCTCGGTTGCTCACACATATATCATTATGTGGCCTCCTACTCTCAAGATGGGAACCATCTCTTTTATTGCTTGCATGCGCCTCTCTTCCGTTGAAAAATGGTGAATCACTAGAACAGAACAGATAAGGTGAATAAGTTTCCCTCGAGGCACTAATGAATACAGAGGATGAGGACAGGGACTGGCTCTGACAAACTGGCAGCCGGTGGTTTGCTCCACAGGAACACATCATTTATCTTCCGTTGTGCTCTGTGGTATTGTACTATCTCTAACATCTCTAACATTGTACTACATCTAACTCTAAAGAGTTCATAACATACTGGCTTATTTTAAAAACACAGAAGAATTGAGAAATGGTGAAACAAATGACATCTTTCAGACTGGCAATAAACAACACGACAGTCTTGTTTTCTTTGCCTTCACCTAAAGCTCATCTGTAGCCTGAAAGAGGCAAGTCTGAAAGACTGAAGCCATGCGTGGTCCTTGCAACAGCTGTGTTAGTGATTCTGCTGCTGATACCCATTTAAAAAGGATCAGGTTAGAAGTGCCTGCCCATTTCTCCTAGTCTATTGACAGATGTTAGTAACAGAGGAGAAAAAATGAGCAGTAACCATCAGCCTGGGACACATTTAAATCATCAACATATGCGTGAAAGACACTTAGTCAAACAGCATTTCTCTACTTTGGCCATTAACAAGCATATATCACGAAAACAAATTAGATTACCCCACTCTTTCTTGATAACACCTCTCACCACACAAATGTGAGTGATGTAGAGAACAACTCATTGCTTTTAAGCTGAAACTCAAGTAGTACAGGTTTGCTTGAGTCACAACTGAGTTTAAATTTGACTCTCATTTCAAGAAAATTTTGTGCCCCGAAAAGAACAATTGGTCTCAGTCTTTGGCAAGAATTTGCCCAATGGCAGGTCTGCAGGTTGGCTCCTGCTCTCAAACTGCACAGCTCTGCAGCAATTCACAACAGATGTCAAGGTTAATTAGGTCTTGGTGCACAGCAGGGACTTCAGCAAGGTTTCAGCTACATCTCATGTTACATGAGAAGTAAGAATACGAAATAACCCCAGAATAGTGCTGGAAAGGAAAGGGCACATATTAAAGACACCAAAAATGAAAAGCCACTAAATCAGTGATATTTACCCAACCTTATATTTTCCTCAGTGAAAATGCCTGTGCCAGTTTGGATGGGTCCTTCTACACATGTCACTTCAGGTTACAATGATAAAACAGTTTTTGGTTAAGCTGTTGAGGTTTCCACAAACTGTTGGTTTCCACAGAAAAATAACAGAACTTTCAAGAAAAAAAAAAAGGCATAAGCTTTCAATTCTTTCTAGAAACATAAGCACAGAAAATGCTAGCAGAAGCTCTGTGTGTGCAGCCTCTCTGTGTCTGTCAGGGCAGCCATTCACTATCAGATCCTTTTTTGCCTCTGAAAAAGGGACACTTTACAATTAAAAGAATAGCAGCGTGCAATCCAGCTGAGATAGGAAAACACTCTGCCTCCAATGATGCATTCAGACCTCAGCAGCAATGTGAGGATCAAAAGGCAAGCTTTGAAGAAATAGGGTCTTTTAACATTTAGTTATTCAGCTGCTCTGCCTGTAGGTTCCACTTGTTTGAGATGAACAGAAATCAATTCCAAAAGCTCAGATCTTCTAGCACTAAGTCGAGACGTTGACATTTAAACATTATGGCCCTTTTAATTAAAAAGGCATCAAGTATCATTTAAGAAATTACAGCATATTAATAAAACCTCACACTGAGCAAAACTTCAGTGTTGTCAAGATAAATCTGTCAGATAATTTTAAGAGCTAAGGGTGATGTATTCCATTTAAAAATGCCTAACTGAAGGAAACAGAACATCTGCAGGGGCACCATCACACTACCCTGAAATCGCAGATTATCGCAGGCACGTGACTGTTTTTAATCAAAGCCAAAACTCTCAGGCTCCAAGATCACCACGCAGCCACATTCACATAAATCAGCAGCTGATAAAAAAAATCCTGTCTTTCTTTTCCTTGACATTAAGTTCCTTGTACGTTGAGCCTGTGTTTAAACTGAACAACCTGTTCTGTGCAGTAAAGGCACCATTTCAGAGCTCACGTAAGAGAGCAGTGAGGCACAAATTGTCACTGAGGGCCTGACTGCAGCTCAGCAGCTCCATAAGCCAGCTTCCCTCCCCTCCAGTGGAAATGTTTCAGATGTGCTTCTCCTTCAACCCTTTCATAGTGATGAGTAGATGGCAGTGGGGGCAATATTTCATAGAAACATAGGACAGTATGGGTTGGAAGGGACCTTCAAAGATTGTCTAGTCTAACCTCCCTACCATGGGCAGGGACAACTTCCTCTAGAATAGGTTGCTCAAAGTGTCATCCAACCTCAACTGGAACACTCCCTGTGATGGAGCATCCACAGCTTCTCTGGGCAACCTGTTCCAGTGTCTCACTACCCACACTGTAAAAAACTTAACATCTAATCTAAATATACCCTCTTTCAGTTTAAAACCACCACCCATGCCCTGTCACTACAGGCCAGGCTACCCGTTCCAGTGTCTCATTACCTACACTGTAAAAAACATCTAATCTAAATATACTCTCTTTCAGTTAAAAACCATCACCCCTGTCCTGTCACTACAGGCCCTGGTTAAAAAGTCTCTGTCCATCTTTCTTACAAGCCCCTTTAAGCACTGAAAGATCACAATAAGGTCTCAACAGAGTCCTGCAGAGTTACACCCCTAGAACAATATTTCACCAGGTCTTCACCATATTTTAAGGTGATTTCATACAGCCCTGTCACTACAGGCCCTGGGTAAAAAGTCTCTGTCCATCTTTCCTACAAGCCCCTTTAAGCACTGAAAAATCACAATAAGGTCTCAACAGACTCCTGCAGAGTTACACCCCTAGAACAATATTTCACCAGGTCTTCACCATATTTTAAGGTGATTTCATACCACCCAAAAACTAGAAAACAAGGGTCCAGGTGTTTGAAAGTGCATTTGTCATAATAAGTGGTACTTTAAATGAAAATTAGTTTTGTCCTAAACTACAATAAATACAGGAGCTTGCAGGTGGTGAGAACAGTATTGGGGCAGAGGAGAACCATCCTGGGTCAGAGCAAATGCTCAACCTGGGGCTGTGGCAGCAGTCAGCACCCGTTGTTGGGGAAAGAAACAAGGGAAGAATGGTGATGTTCTCCCCCCTTGTCTCCAGAAGTCAGTGAGAACCCACCTGAAGTTCAGTGTCCAGCTCTGGAGTCCTCAGCACAGGAAAAACATGGACCTGTTGGAGCAGGTCCAGTGGAAGGCCACAAATGTGATCAGAGTGATGGAACACCTCTGCTATGAAGAAGGATGAGAGAGTTGGTGTTCAGACTGGGGAAGAGAAGGCTCTGGGGAGACATTATTGCAGCCCTTCAGTACTTAAAGGAGGCCTATAAGAAAGATGGGGACAGAGGTTTTAGCAGGGCCTGTACTGATAGGAGATGGGGTAATGGTTTTAAACTAAAAGTGGGTAGATTTAGTCTAGGTAAAAGCAATTTATTACAGTGAGGATGGTGAATCACTGGCACAGGTTGCCCAGAGCAGTGGTAGGTGTTCCCTCCCCAGAAACACTCAAGGTCAGTTTGGACAGGGCTCTGAGTAATCTGACCTGATTGAAGATGTCCCTGCTCACTGCAGGGTGGGTGGACTAGTTGACCTTTAATGGTACCTTCCAACCCAAAACACTCTATGATTCTATGAACAGTTTGGACTTTTGATCATTATAAGGACCTTTACTAGTTCACCTATGTCTTTCTAGAGGTGGAGGAAACCTGAATTTCATGAAGTAATCAAGATATAGATGCACCATGTATTTTATCTTCTAGCATTCTTCTGGATTTTCATCTTTGTTCTTAATATATGAATACCTTTTCAACCAGGTTTGAACACTGAACCAATAATTTTCAGGGCCACAAAAATGAGTCTGATAATGATTTCAGTATCTCTCCCCTGGACAAGAATAGAGGGTACCACTGTGCCTATACACTGTTATATTTTTCTATGCATATTACCTAGCATTTATCCACAAGTACTTTTCTGCAGTTTTGCACCCAGTCATTAGTTTCACATAAGACTATTTTTTGCAACTCGTTGCAGTCAGTAATCTTGAATAACTCTAGGTCACCAGCAAATTCATGACTAGCCTAGTCATTTAATTCGTAATGATAAATTACATAGGAATCTGTTGAACAGGAGCCTTTTTATAGGCACTGTACACCTACACCAAGCATTTGACATTGAGTCTTTCAGCACTTTCCACACTCACGTGCTAGCATTTCACCCCTCTGGCTTTCCTTTTCAGTTTTCCTTAAGAGTTTCTTCCTTTTTGCTAGCAAACTTTTATGCAGTGGATTTTTTAAAGCACTTTAGTTCCTAGCAGGAGGTTCGATTATGGTCACATTAAATTCAGTGAGAGAATGTGGTTCTCGCACAATTATTGATGTGGGCCTGATGCACCACTTCAGACTAATTTCAGAGTTGTTTCCCTTTTGTAGGTTGTCAGATTAATCTTTTTAAGATTTTTGTGCCCCTGTGTATCATTTATACAACCTACATATGGATAATTGTGGTTTCTCAATATTGTGTTCTCTGCCCTCAGAGCCCTCGCAATCTCTCTTAATAATCTGTGGTCATTTTCCCAAAGTTTGTCAGAGAGTTAGTGATACCTCCTTATTATTAAACTGCTTTCCTCTGTAGCTGTCTACCTACTATCTTTTCTTCCAGAAGTTCATCCTCATTCTTTTTTTCCACAGAAGAGCATTCAGAGCTTTTTAGCTGTTATGCAAGCCTTGTAACAAAAAGCTAAAAAATACCCTCAAGTTCACAACAGAAAAGGGCTTTAATAAACACTGTATCATTATCATACTAATTAACACCATGCCATGGTGATGAGGACGAGTAGAACCACATTCAAGGTTTTAAACATCCAAACAAAATATTGAAAAAAAAGGAATCTAAGCACCAAAATATTTGTTTGAGGTGAGCAGAGGTGCTTGTCCAAACCCCCTGACAGCTCCTTGCAGCAGCAAGGCCTTGCTCCATGGCTTACGAGTTG